GACTCCCGTCCTTTTAAACGGACAAAATCGCCCATTGACCGCAATATTGAAAAAGTCCTGATTTGGTTCTGCGTTAGGCTGGTTCTTGGCCTGATTCAGACTAGTTTTAGACCTTCTTGCTTTAGATCTGCTTTGGACCAGCTTTAATCCTACTTTATACCAGCTTTAGTCCTGCTTCCTGCTTTTCACATGTGGAAGAACTGGGTGTATCAAAAACAGTGTGTGAAATGAACTGTCAGACATGTTCACACTTTAACAACAGCTTCCTTCACCCCAGAGGATCATGGGAAAAAAAAATCCCCCCTCTTACAAATCATATCATTATTTACAAGGTTATATGTCATTCATTCAAGACAAGAGCATACACTTCCCTCTCCCGAGACACTTCTTAACTGAGGGCATTAGTGGCTTGTCTTAGTTAAATAAAAGAAACATTTGTGCTTTTGTCTAAAACAGTATATTGTTTTGAACAATTATGATCTCAATATTGATCAGAATGTATAGAAATTTGTTTGGTTTTCATCATTTATTATTTTTAAATATTGTGTTGTTTATAATGTTCTTTAATGATTTGTGTTTTTCCGTGTTATAGATTAGAGAATACGTTTCATGTGTTAGAATGTGAAAGAGTTCAAACACATTAGAAGCTTTCTGTATAATTTCACACCTGGACATGGATTAGGATTATAACATAAATGTTGTATGTTTTAAAAGACGTGATTTGACTGGAAACAGTCCCAAGAATATGTTCGAGGCTTTGTTTTTGGTAAAATGAGTGAATGGGGTCAATACGCTGTCATGACATGTTATACCTCATTTTAAAGTCTATTCATGTATCCTGCTCTGAACAGTTACCAATATATAAATAGTATTGAATTAATGAATACAAATACTTTATCTCTAAATCAGTCTACAAAACTTATATTTCTTTGATAAAGTACTGCAGACTTAGACTACACCTTTTATATAGTTTATACAGTATAACAGTTTCTCTGTTGACATATACTCATCTTTTCCTTACAAATACTTCTAATCCAAGTGCAAAGAGCAGCCTCAGAGGCGTTGAAGAGCTGCACAATACACACATATATACAGATACAAATATATAAAATATGAGGTTATAATGGACCTTGAATCGAGTCATTCCTGTGAACAGGTTTACCAACTGTAGGTGTTTATTCAAGAATACAGAATGTGCTACTGCTGTTTTCCATGACATAGAACCCATGGATCATAGATCATATCACTGGATTTAATACAGTTTTCAATTCTTAACAATGAGTTGGTGCACATCTTTTGTACTGTGCTCTTCCCCTTTACGCGTTCTCAGTAATTACAGCGACGGTGGTCAGAGAAAAGATAATCTTTTGCAAACACAATATATGCATTGAAACTCTCCACAAACATATAGTTCCCAATCTGAAAGTGCGTTCAGTTTCCTCACACTGACAAAAATGAACAGCTGGGATTTTGACGTCTGGGTTTACACTCTTTCTGTTTTCACACACCGCACACTGCACTCCTCACAGCGTCACAACCAGACAGGACTAGAACAAGGAAAAGAACAATATGCACATATCCACACAAACACACATGCACACGCACGCACAAACACATATATACACTCACGCACGCACAAACACATATATACACTCACGCACGCACAAACACATACATACACTCACGCACGCACAAACACATACATACACTCACGCACACACAAACACATATATACACTCACGCACACACACTCATGTACGCACTCAAACACACTCACACCTCACGCACGCATAAAAACACATACGCACGCACGCACACTCACAAACACACACACATGCACACTCACACATGCACACAAACACACACACACACACACACACACATGCACGCACTAAACATTACTCATATTTCCCACATCATTCCTTACTTGGAGAAATGAATACGACACATGTGCTAAGAAATACAGATAATTGAGGTTCTGTACATTTATTATTATTTTTTTTTTTACATGTTCTTATTGCTGAGGTGTTGAACTTTCAAACTACGCACAATAAAATATATAAAATATACAAACAGTCTAAAGTTCCAGGACTTAGGCTGAAGAACGAGGACTAAAGGGGCTCCCAGGCGAGCAGGGGGTGCAGACCATAAGTCTGAGGGCGACCAGGAGGAGATAAAGGACATATTGATGACAGATAAAGTAGAAGAGAGGAGAAGATAGAGCTCAAGTTGTTATACTTATCCCAGCAAAATGTTGCCAAATCAGCTTTTGTGTTAAGCCTGGCCTTGAATGTAGAGACGGTGTTCGCTTCTTTACCGTGAATGGCGAGCTGATTCCACATAGGAGCTTGCTAGCTAAACACTCTGTCTCCTACTGTTATTTTTGACGTTCTAGGAACCACCAGAAGTCTGCCGTGTTTGCGAGTGTCGTTTGAGTCTTTTGTGGTGGGAGGAAGCAAAAGGATTAGGTCTAAAATGCAAGTTGAGATTTCATGACTCTGTGGTGGTGTCAGCCTCTTGTAGGGTGTGGTCTGCTGGAGCAGCATCACAGAGAGGGACAGGAAGAAGCTGGAACAGGTCATCGGGAAGTCCAGCTCAGTCCTGGGCTGTTCCCTGTCCGGGACAGGAGGGTCCTGGACAAACTAACATCGATGCTGTACCATGACTGTCACCCCCTGCAGGACACTCTCTCTGCTCTGGAGAGCAGTTTCAGTGACAGACTTATTCACCCTCGTTATGTGAAGGAGAGGTTCCGCAGGTCCTTTCTTCCTGCTGCTGTCAGACTGTACAACGAGACCTGCTGAATCTGTACATTCAGGGCCTTTTTGAGTGGAGTTTGCATGTTCTCCCCGTGTCTGTGTAGGTTTCCTCCGGGTGCTCCGGTTTCCCTACCACTAAAAATATGTACAATAGGTCTGGCATGTGCCTCCTGTTCTGGCGACCCCCACTCCCAAAAATAACAATTGTAAACCGCTTTGAGACTCCGATGTGCAGTGAAAAGGCGGTATATAAATAAAGACTACTACTACATGTCATCTCATCTGTAAAAAGTAAACACTGCAATCATGTACAATGTGCAATTCTTACTTTCTACTCTTATGAAGCATTTACAGCGAGTTAAGAAGAATTTCAGCTTCTTGTATTGTGTAATATGTGTGCTCCCTGTGTGCTCTATGTGCGCTGCAACACCGACATTTCTCCACTGTGGGATGAATAAAGGTTATTCATCATATTTTATCTCATCTAATCTTATCTTGGGTCTGATCACAGCTCTAGCGTCATAGAGGTTGACTGTCAGACTGATGAAGCTAAGCAGAGCAGGGCCTGGTTAGTACTGTGATGGGAAAGCTCCGGGAACACCAGGTACTACAGGGGGGCAGCTGTGGCCATAAAGTGCCAAAGACAAGACACTTCACCCACATTGATTAATAAGAGTCTGGTCTATGTGAATGGTTGGTGGTAGTCTGAGAGGCCCATGGCACATAATGGTTGCCACACTTATGCTAGTCTGTCCTAGGGCAGATGTGGCTGCAGTATGGAGTGAATGAATAATACTGTGAAGGGTCTTTGAGTGTCCAAAAAACCTGTACAAAACCAAAGTATTATTATTAGATATATATGTACATGTAATCTTTCCAACGCTGTAAATACTATTTCTAAGGTGGTGAGAGCATTAACCCACACTATGAAGCGTGTGGTCGCTGTATTATCACCATTGTTAGATAGCGTCTCGATGGTCCAAAACCCTCACTTTATTAAGATTATAATATTATAATAATCCATAAAAAGGCATTGAGGGCTTGTTGTATTTGGACGCAGCTGGAGCTAATCCGGTTAGCGCTTTCTAATGGGATTATCCCTGTGTAAACATTAGCATTAGCCCTGTTAGCCGCTCATAAATAAAGCAGTGCAGACATTAGCATTAGCGCAGTTAGCACAGAGCGTAATGATGTTTATGGAGTAGAAAGGTCAGGTCTAATCCAGACTCAGGGGACCGGCTCTCTAGGGTCTGAGGAAGAGGTCTGCGCTTCACTGCCTTCTCCACATCCACACACACTTAAAGACTATATGACAGCTTACACTTTAAATGGATATATTTCAGATTGCTTTTTCAATTTAAAAAATGGAGGTACCCTTCTTTAAAAACAAAGTAATCCATGCTTTCATCCTGACTCCTGCTTCAGATCTGATTCAAACCTGTGCCAGTCTTGCTTTAATTCGATCAGTCAAAAGCAGGTCTAACACCTGTTTTGACCAATTCCCAGATCTCAAGATGTCTGCCCATTCAAGTGAACGGCCTGTGCTCATTGGCGTAAGCCCGCACCACGCACGTGCAAAATATTACAGGACCAGAGTAACTCACAGAGAGACATGTGAGCATTCTGACCCATTAGAGCGGAGCATGAGCGGGCTGGGAGCAAGCAGCATTTGTTGCACAAAATGTGGATTTTTTTGAAAACCGATAGATGTAAAAAATAAATATAAATAAATCACAAAATCTCACCTTTTGTGGAAGCTGTATGTTCCCTGTTTTAGTTCACACTGAGGTCTATGGGGAAATCTCATCTACAGCCTGAGTAAGATTAAGCTGCAGTACCACAAGTGGCCCCTTGTCCATGCTGGAGACGGGTTTAGGCAGCAATACTCTATCCAGATACTACTGTATATACAGCCATGCTTTAGACTTACAGTATGGCACAGTGGACAGTGGACCACTGTCCCAGAATCGGTATTGGTTTCCTCCAGGTGCTTCCCCTATCACTACAATCATGTACAATACTTAAGGATGAACTCACACGTGTTTGTCAATGCGACTGTGGGACGATGTATAATGTATTTACAGCACTGCTATTCATAACACACACTTTCCTAAATAAAACAAATGCATAAAAATTGTCATCCTGGTTTAGTTCCACTTCAGACCTGGTCCTGTCCTACTTTAGACCTGCTTCAGTCCTGGTCCGGTCCTGATTCTAACCTCTCCTCTGTTTCCTTGATAGCGGTGTGGGTTTGGCGCGTGCTCACTTTGAGAAGCAGCCTCCTTCAAACCTGCGAAAGTCCAACTTCTTCCACTTCGTCCTGGCCTTGTACGACCGGCAGGGGCAGCCTGTGGAGATTGAGCGTACCTCCTATGTGGACTTTGTGGAGAAAGACAAGGTAATGACCAAACACGACCACAAATAACATATAATGCATGCACACACACCCTTACACACACACACAAATATAAAGTGTGTGTTGCAGTTGCGTACACACATCTTCTCCTGGAGCGCTGCCAGCAGAAGCTCAGCTGCTCACAACTGCAGCCAAAACTATAACCACACAATCTAACGCCAGATACATGCATTTCACATGTCAAATCAGGCAGAGGTCAGAGCGCAGTGCTTTCATTCACTTTGATCAATATTTCATTTCAATACCTCGAGTATCGCCCCCGAGGCATTTGGATGGATTTTAGTCAGACAAAAATGCGATTCAAAATAATGTTTCAATATGTGTTCTTATGTTATTATTTCTGATTAATAATTAGAATAAAGCTTAACAATATTCATAACATTCATTATTTTTTATATGATCTTTTGATCATATGATTTCATATGATTTTTATATGATATGATATGTATTATATTGTCCATTAAAACATTTGTGTGTGTGCGTGTGTGTTTGACAGGAGTACAATGGAGAAAAGACCAACAATGGAATCCACTACAGACTGCAGCTTCTCTACAGCAACGGTCGGAACACACACATCTTCTTTGATCATTTGGTGTTCCTTTTCAAGAACAAACCTGGAGTTGTCTTTAGCTTCTGCTACGCTAATATTGGGATTGTCTGATTCAAGCACGTCTCCTGCTCTGCTCGGTTTACACTATGCAAGTCAGACTCGTAGGAGGAGTTCTAGTCTCTCAGGTCTGGCGCTCAGCAATAAACTCCGGCCAATTATCATTTCCTACATGTACGTCTGGGTCTGATCCTAGTGGCTGTGGTTACCTCGGTTGAATCCCCTGCGACCAATCTGCGAGCGGGGGAGGCGGGTGTTGTAGGTAGGTGTCGCTGACGTCATGAGTTTTTCTGGTTGCAGTTTGGCAATGGTGGCGAATAGTAAAGGAAGCTCTTCAATCCGTTCTGGTTCGGCTCAAAATATCAAGAAATTGAAGCCGGGGCGAGAGGAAGATTAGGCTGGCAAAGGTGTTGTGGCTCAACTCCCCACGGGCTCCGTTAGTGGCAAAGGAGATGGCTAGGCTAAATGCTAAATGCTAACGACTCACTCGGGCACATTGCATACGTCACGGTAAACTCAGATCCAATCGTTTCAATCTGCAAAAGAAGTTAACCCCTCCCACCTGTTACCAGACCTCAATAAAGGGAAGGGAAGGGAAGGATGGAGCGTGAGATTGACAGATGGTCGGTGCAGCGTTTGCGTTGAATGCATCGGACTGTTGTGGATAAGAAGTGACGTCTCTGCTCAGTTACTGTATGTTCTCTCCCTCAATTTTGAAGTCATGGTCCTGAACCCAAACCCAAAATGTTGGCCTGTACGATGTAAGATGGACAGAGTATACCAAGGAATACCAGACTGGATACTTAGTTGAAGGAAGTCCTTAATGCTTAGACCAACAAAGTTTAGACAGCATTTCCCCAGCATTATAATTGTACATTGAGTTTTTATAGCGTCTGTTTGTGTCTCCCTGAAAAGAACTGTCTCTTCTTCCAATAGGAACCATAGTTTTGCCGATTAACCAATAGAAACATGTCACCATAAGTACAATTCTGTAGTCAGACAAAGCGGCGTCTCCAGTGGTCAGAAGGTCCAGCTCTTCTTGCGTTGTTGAGTTGAGAGTTTGTTATTTCGAGTTCAATGTACATCAAACATTAATCATAACATTTTTCTGCATAGAATTTTCTGGCAAATTCTTCGTTTACAATTACAGTAATGTACTTTATCCAAACTCGAGAAAGAGCGGGAAGAAGAAAAAACTTATAAATCTTATGGACTGATGCTCATGACGGCGTGTAGTTGGTGTAGACCTCACAGATGCATGCTTTCACCTGTGATCATGAGAATCTGTGGGTCCCTGGGGAAGGACCCAAAGGACAAGATGGATGATACCAGAGGACCACAAGGGTTTCCTCCACAGGGTGATGGGTTCTCCCTCTGAGGCAGGGGGAGGACAGGGGGGGGGGCTCATCAGCAGGAGAGGAGCTCAGGGGAACAGCTGAGGAGGTGATCTTAGATGTTCTTTCCAGGGAGACCCATGCAGGACACTCGGGAGCAGGGGCCAGCCACTCTCCTTATGCATAACACCTCTGATACGAATGAATCAGTAGAGATCATTTATTTCAACACTTGTAGTAGACATTTTCACTAAACAAATGAACAGAATTGTTAATGTGACTCTATAGACTTACATTTAACTCTGCTTCAGATCATTTGTGCTCCCACTCAAAATAAATGTAAAATGTACTCTTTGGTCAGAGTTAAATGTACTGTATACTGAAACGTCAGTAGCCTACAGCAGAGTGGTGGGTATTTCTCACTGCTGTAGAGTTGAATTTGGCACTGCGCACGTGAAGACTTTTACACTCACTTTCAACGCCGGAGCAACATTACTCTCCATAACGTTGAAAAAACTCAACTTTACTCCCATATATAAACACCCCATTTGTTACTGTGAATGCAAAAGAAGAGAAGAGGTTTTCTGAGATGACGCATGTTGTGATTTGATTCTACCTTTACAAAACTCTTTCGATACCAATCAGAAAGTCTGTGATCCGGGTTGCCAGAACTCACCTTGCGGAGCTAATCTCGATGGTTAAGTACCATGTGGCGCAGAACTAAAATAGGTCTTGTTATAATTCTCAAATCATTGATAACAAAACAAGGAATGAAACCAGGATTTCTATCTTTGTGAAAAAGGTGTTGGTTATAGCTTTGTTGTTGACAAAACTCTTGTCTATTCAGCTGTTATGGTCCCAGCTGGATTCCTCTGCATATCTGGCAACCTGAGTCAGGGAGAGTGGGAGAGGCTGCAGTACCACTTTTGGCCAGATTTTTTCCATACTGTTCCTTTAACCAAAGCTTAAAATTAAGTGACAGAATAAACACAAACTGAGCTAAAGACAAATACAGCTCTGTTTATTTTCGAGTTGCTCTGATTGATATTTCATTTGCGAGAGTCGTGTTGTTGTCTGCGTTTGCATGTTATTATGGGATGTTCTCCTGAGGCACAGTGGAATGGTTACGGCAGAGTTTGGACAGGACAAAGGCAGAAACAGGTTCTCATCTCTGCTGTGTCTTTAGGCCATTATATCATTACATTGTTCAGTTATTTTCAGTTCATATTTTAAGGGATGGGTGGTGTTAGCTTTAAATGATCTGTCAGAGATATGTGAGATTTTTACAATTTTGACTTTATTCGGTGCCATGATTTCATATATGCAGTAATAGTCTACAGTCCATGGATAATTGCTGTTGTAAATAAAATATATTGTTTTGTACCAATCAAAACCATTTAGTGAGGAAAAGTAACACATGTTGAAAATTACAGGCGCGTGGGCCAAATGCGGCCCTCTGTGTCATGTTATCTGGCCCTCTGCCTCGCTAACACACGATATCAAAGACACCAGTTCACAGCGTCATACAGCCAACTTCAGCTGTACCAATATATGTACGTTATATCTTGTCGCAAAGCTTATTTTTTATATACTAGTGACTTGTTTTTGATTGTGGTACAAAATTGAGTTGCTATTGTAGCCAACGTCAACATTATTAAGGCTGATTTTAAAGTTCAAAACAGTTTTTCAATCCAAGTTGTCGGCCCCTGGACAAGTCTGGTAAATTAAAGTGGCCCTATTACAAAGAAGTTTGGACACCCCTGATTTAGAACTAAAAAGGCCTATAGTTATGTCTCTACCGCTAAATATCATGTTATCATTTGTGTTGTTGCTCCTTTTTTGTTTACCACATTGAGTTACAGTATTGTAGGAAATGTGCTATATAAATACATTGATTTTTGTGTTCTGTTCCAGGCATCAGAACAGAACAGGACCTGTACGTGCGGCTAATCGACTCCATGACCAAACAGGTGAGTTCTGGTTCAGACTTGGTCCAGACCACATAGAGAGACTGTATATAGTTGGACAATGCTAACCCGCTAGCTCAATGAAGCCCTATTGTGAAGCGCTCATAGACAAAGGTTTCTCTCTAAAGAAATCTCATGGGACTTCCTGGTTAAATAATGGTTGGATAAAAGTAAAGGTCTGTATATATAGGTGTGTGTATGTATGTGTATGGGCCTGTGTATAAGTGTGTGTGTGTGTATGTGCGTGTGTATAGGTGTGTGTATATGTATGTGCGTGTGTAAAGGCTTGTGTATATAGGTGTGTGTATGTGTGTGTATGGGCCTGTGTATAAGTGTGTGTGTGTGTGTATGTGCGTGTGTATAGGTGTGTGTATATGTATGTGCGTGTGTAAAGGCTTGTGTATATAGGTGTGTGTATGTGTGTATGGGCCTGTGTATAAGTGTGTGTGTGTGTATGTGCGTGTGTATAGGTGTGTGTATATGTATGTGCGTGTGTAAAGGCTTGTGTATATAGGTGTGTGTATGTGTGTGTATGGGCCTGTGTATAAGTGTGTGTGTGTGTATGTGCGTGTGTATAGGTGTGTGTATATGTATGTGCGTGTGTAAAGGCTTGTGTATATAGGTGTGTGTGTGTGTATGGACCTGTGTATAAGTGTGTGTGTGTGCGTGTGTATAGGTGTGTGTATATGTATGTGCGTGTGTAAAGGCTTGTGTATATAGGTGTGTGTGTGTGTGTATGGACCTGTGTATAAGTGTGTGTGTGTGTATGTGCGTGTGTATAGGTGTGTGTATATGTATGTGCGTGTGTAAAGGCTTGTGTATATAGGTGTGTGTGTGTATGGACCTGCGTATAAGTGTGTGTGTGTATGTGCGTGTGTATAGGTGTGTGTATATGTATGTGCGTGTGTAAAGGCTTGTGTATATAGGTGTGTGTGTGTGTGTGTATGGGCCTGTGTATCAGTGTGTGTGTGTGTATGTGCGTGTGTATAGGTGTGTGTATATGTATGTGCGTGTGTAAAGGCTTGTGTATATAGGTGTGTGTGTGTGTGTGTATGGACCTGCGTATAAGTGTGTGTGTGTGTATAGGTGTTTGTATATGTATGTGCGTGTGTAAAGGCTTGTGTATATAAGTGTGTGTGTGTGTATGGGCCTGTGTATAAGTGTGTGTATGTGTATGTGTGTGTGTATAGGTGTGTGTATATAGGTTTGTGTATGTGCGTGTGTATAGGTGTTTGTGTATGTGCGTGTGTATAGGTGTGTGTGTGTTTGTATGTGCATGTGTAAAGGTGTGCGTATGTGTATGGGTCTGTGTATAGGTGTGTGTACGTGTGAGTACGTGTGTATAGGTGTGTGTGTGTTCGTATGTGTGTGTGTATAGATATGTTTGTGTGTGTGTGTGTTTGTGTGTGTGTGTGTATGGATCAGTATTGGCGTGTGTGTTAAATCTCAGCGTGAGACTGTGATCCGGTCGTAGACTCCATCGACCAGGACTGTCTCTGCTCCTCACCCCAGGAGAGAGCTTAGTCCTGGGGGAGACACAGAGGCGGAGGAGGGGGTAGCTCTGAGGGTCACACACATAGACTGTACATATTACCATCAGCACCTACTAATAATATTCTATTCTATTATATAAAATGTCATAAAAAGCCAACCATTTTTTACGCTAAACAAACTGAATCTGTCTGAGAACTATTTGGAGCACAAACAAATGGCTGGACTCTTTATGAAGCTGAGATATTTTATTTTTGGAATAAAGCTAAAAGCTCTAGGACCCATGTTAAATCCCTTTTGACCGCAATTTTCTCAAGGTGGTAAAGTAATCACCAGCGTTTGTTTGTTTGTTTGTGAACTCAACGTAACTCTATAAAGTTATTTTGAATCACCTTCTGGACCCAGGGTTTTCTTTAAAGGAGCTATACCCGTTTCTGCAAGGTTTGAATGTTTAGCCCTCAACTCGCTCACAGGCTTCTCATTTCCCCTACGCTTGCATCCCACGGAGCCTTCTAGTTTTATTTGCGATCTGATACATATGCTAACATTAGCATTAGCGCAACTTAAGCTGTACAACAATCACTGATGAAATGGTTCAAAAGCAACGCACTGCTAACAAAATATATAACTGAAAGATTACCGTTAGTTTCGCGTCCGAATGTAGACTGAGCGTAGATAGTCCGAGCGTAGATAGTCCGAGCGTAGATAGTCCGAGCGTAGATAGTCTGAGCGTAGATAGTCCGAGCGTAGATAGTCTGAGCGTAGATAGTCCGAGCGTAGATAGTCCGAGCGTAGATAGTCCGAGCGTAGATAGTCCGAGCGTAGATAGTCCGAGCATAGATAGTCTGAGCGTAGATAGTCCGAGCGTAGATAGTCCGAGCATAGATAGTCCGAGGCGGTCCCGCAGGTCTCTCCCATAGACAAGTCTCTCCAGAGGATACGATGAAAGCTAACTATGTTCACCCGGGCTTGATTTCTTCTTTGATAATTTTTTTGGCTTTAGTTCCCTCTTCTCTTCCTCACTGTTGTGTCGTTTGAGCTGTTTTGCTGTGTCTGCAGTTACAGCCAGAGGAGTTATAGCCACTTATGCTAACATGCTACTGTGTTTAGCAGCGCTGTAGAGGCTAGAGGAGGCAGCCTCGTTCTGTGATTCGAGGAGAGCGGGCGTCACGCTAAGTCTCTACTCAGCACTTTATACGGCCTGAATTCATACACAGCTGAATCAATGAGCTCAAGTTTTCAAATAAATTATGGATTATTATACAACTTGTATGTAGTAATAAGTATTTTTATGAACTCATTCGAAAACAATCTGGTATAGTATTTTTAAGGAATAGAATAGGTCTGTGCTTTATGTGTGCTTTTCTAGTTTTTACTGTTATTTGTGAGTTTGGAGTTCTAATTGATCCAGGTTATAAGTGGTACATGTCTTTATTGTATATTTCACATTTAAGTTTGATGGTTTTATTCTAACAATTTAGAGTAAAATCTAGTTATACCTGCACAGGCGCATCAGTGTAGTGGGGGTTTAAAGAACAAAGAGAATGTTCGTTCTGTCTCTTAAACATGGACAACCTACTGCTTTACGAAATTACAATCTGCTTTTATGTGTCATGTAATCGAAGGCACACACCTGTAAAGAATGTAAATGCTAGTTCCACAATGATTTTTTAGAAAAGAAAAGGTAATTCATGTTCTTTAGAAATGCATTCTCAAAGTATTTTCCATCAGTGAGACTAAAACAGGGCTTCTTTCCCATCTTTCTTCACACTACATTTTCTTCTCTCTCCTCTCCTGCCCCTCCGCTGGTCTCAAAACTCACCCGTCGTCCATCTTGGTCTGGTCCTGACAGCTCTGGGACTCAGACCTGGGATTTGGGGTAGAGCTGGAGGTTTATTCCTGCTTCAGACCTGCTGTAGACCTGCTTTAGTCCTGCTTTAGTCCTGTTTAAGTCTTGTTTTAGTCCAACAAAAATGTAACACAGAGCTCTTGTCCGGTGCTCATATTTTTCATGTGTTTTATCCTTAAACATGTAAACAACTATGTCAATTCAATTACATTTATTTTGTATTACCCGAAAATCACAAGTGTAATTATCTCGATTCATCTCGTAGTTGTCGATTCACCAACACAGATCAGAGAAAAAAACAGTTCAAACACTGGAAATGCACGATAAAAAAGCCATTGGTCCATGTGGGGGAGTATGACCAATGTCCATAAATGTTCATAAATGTTAATAAATGTCCATTAATGTTCTTAAATGTCATGGATCATCACCACTGTTCTTGACCCTCCCGTATCAGCAAAGAACATCTGGGAAAAAGTGAGAAACCTCAGGGGGGGTCCACATTGAGAGAGGGATCCACTCCCACAGATCAGGGCTATACTGTAGATCCAGGACTCAGGCTGTAGAACGAGGACCAAGCCATGTGGTGCAGACTCAATCGGTTTTATTTTCAGCACTTATAGAAAACAAGTCGGTAGATTCCTCACAGTGCAACACATCCGATAGTTGATCATGTTGTATTTTCAATGACCCATTCATCTCATGTAGCAGCAGGATGGCTCCACGATGAAGGATCTATAGACGATACAGATGAGAATATCCGGCCTCATCCTCACCGGGCAAGTCGTCTGGAGGTTTGGATTCTTGGAACATTCTGGATCGCTGTAAACAACGGCAGGTTCCAGTTCAGGCCAATATCGACTTCATACAGTCATCAAAGAGCAGTGGACCAACATTCACAGACCACGAACTTACATCACCTCTGTGTGAGTCCTGGATCTACAGCCCGTCCATCTGTGGGAGCGGATCCCCCCCTCGTGTGGACCACCTGGAGGTTTCTCACTTTTCTCCCACTGGGTTTTCAGAGTGGTTACTTGCCGATGTACTGTACGAGGGTTCAAGAACAGTGGTGATGATCCAGGACATTCAGCTTTTCAACATTTATGGACATTGGTCTCTGCTCCTTATGGGCCAATGGCTCTATGTATTTTTTTAATCACTGAATTTCTTGTATTTGAACTGTGATCTGTGTTGGTGAATTTGACAGTTTTATAAAGTCCTTCGAGATAACTACTGTTGTGGTTTAGGGGCTGTACAAAAATGAATTGAGTGTGAGATGTGTGGTACCTTGAGTCGCGCCACATCCTGACTGGCTTTAAAACCCCACTGACCCCAAGAACCAAAACTGAACATCTGTGAGGTGGATTGTTTAAGATAATAAAAAGTTCTCACTGAAACAGATTTTGATGGATTTAATATCTGATTATCAGGGGCTATTGACCATATACTGAGTCTTCTATTGTGAGGTTGAACCCACAATAAATAACAAAACAAACGAGACATGTTTATTTTTTTGTTGAGTGTACACCGGGTTGTAGCGTGTTTAACAGGTATACAATTTATTTTAATTTTAATCACTATAATTTTAAATACTTACAAATACAAACACTAATTGATCCAGTCCCGTTTTTGTCCTTGTCAAGTCCTGGTCCTGGTCTAGTCCTAGTTCAGTCCTGCTTCAGTTCTGGTTCAGAGTTGGTTTGCTCTTGCCTCAGTCCTGCTTGTTTCTTGCTTCAGTCCTAGTTAAGTCCTGGTTCAGTCCTGGTTCAGTCCTAGTTCAGACCTCCTTCAGTCCTGCTTCCGACCTGGTTCAGTCCTGGTCCCGACCTGCTTCAGTCTTGCTTCAGTCCAGCAACAGCCCTGCTTCAGACCTGGTTCAGTACTGGTTCAGTCCTTCTTCAGACCTGGTTCAGTCCTGCCTCAGTCCTTCTTCCGTCCCGGTTCAGTCCTGGTTTAGTCCTGCTTCAGTCCTGGTTCACAGTCCTGCTTCAGACCTGCTTCAGTCCTGGTCCCGACCTGCTTGAGTCTTGCTTCAGTCCAGCAACAGCCCTGCTTCAGACCTGGTTCAGTCCTTCTTCAGAGGTGCAGTCCTGACTCAGTCCTTCTTCCGTCCCGGTTCAGTCCTGCTTCAGTCCTGGTTCAGTCCTGCTTCAGTCCTGCTTCAGACCTGCTTCAGACCTGCTTCAGTCCTGCTTCAGTCCTGGTTCAGTCCTGGTTCAGTCCTGGTTCAGTCCTGCTTCAGACCTGCTTCAGTCCTGCTTCAGACCTGCTTCAGTCCTGGTTCAGTCCTGCTTCAGACCTGCTTCAGACCTGCTTCAGTCCTGCTTCAGACCTGCTTCAGTCTTGCTTCACTCCTGGTTTCACTCTTGCATAAATCAGTCCTGGTACAGTCCTGCCTCAGTCCCGCTTCAAACCTGGTTCAGTCCTGCTTCAGTCCTGCCTGGACAGATGTCGGGGGGCTCTGGGACCACCTCTGAGACCAGGATGTAGGCCAGGACTTGGTGGAATTGGGACTTGCGTCTCTTAAATGGAGTGTGAAGGAGTGTGAGGCTGTAAACGTGGAAGAGATCGTTAGGTCCATGATTGTTCTTCTCACTCGGCCGCCTCAGACCTGCTTTAAAGGACACATCCGCTCTGAGCTTTTACTACACCACCATCCGACAAAACCAGACACTTTTATACATTTAGATTTCAAATCACACAAACACGAGTCATTGTGTTTGGAGATACTGCACAAATCCGAGCCGATCATAATCATATCAAAACTAAATCGCATTAGATTGAAACATTGACTGTAATTATTATTAGTTATTTGCAAACATAGATAGATAGAGAACGATACTTTATTGATTCCCTTTGAAGAAATGTAGGTGTCCAGCAGCAGAAACACATTCATCCATAAAAACAGATAAATACATCATTCTAAAAATTACTAGCATCAATAGTAGTCACATCAGCAGAGGTGATGAGCTGCTTCCTATCCTCTGGTTGATGCCTGCAGAGTCTGCTTGGTTCGGGCTATTTTATCTGCACTGGTTCAGAGTGAAATTCTGAATGCTTTATTAGCATTAAAAAAAAACGGTTGTTTTTGCTGTGTATTAATGAACAAAACTGACAAAAGTGGTGTTTTAAAATGTCCTGAAATTGTGTGTATATTTTGTATTTGCTAAGCTCTCCATCTATTTCTTTATAACCGTAATGCTTATTGTTGTTTTTTCTTTACTCACTTATAGTAAGCACTAAAACTGGAGTATATAACTTTAAATACTGAAATTACTGTTCATTGAAAGGCTAATGCTAACAGCTGATAGTAAACGGTGTGTTGCTATGGTAACTAGCACTGGTTCTTGTTAAACCGAGCTGAACCAGGACCGCTCCAAAACCAGCAAAGATAATTTCATAAATCAATGCTGACATACAAATACACCACATAGAATCATAAAAAGTCACAAAGTCATGAAGACCCCAAAGGTAGATTAGCCGAGTCATTACACTTCCAAAACTGAAAGCCGTCAAATTGACTGCTCTGGGAGTTTTATTGTTAACACAAGTAGTATATAGTACGGAAGCTTGTTAGGTTCACTTGTGAGTGTGTTTTTTTCCCGCTGGTATCATGTTATTTCATGATACTTTCATGAAATAACATGATACCAGCGGGAAAAAAACACACTCACAAGTGAACCTAACAAGCTTCCGTAATATAGTACCTTTAAAAGAACCTTGATACTTGAACATGTTTTTATTTTTATTTTTTTCAGGCAATCCTGTACGAGGGTCAGGACAAGAACCCAGAGATGTGCAGAGTCCTGCTCACCCACGAGATCATGTGCAGGTACATCACTTTTACCCTATTGTTCCTACTACAACTGCTACGACTATGACTACTGTGGCTAATACTAGTGTGGCTAATATTACTGCTACTACTACGACTATGACTACTGTGGCTAATACTAGTGTGGCTAATATTACTGCTACTACTACGACTATGACTACTGTGGCTAATACTAGTGTGGCTAATATTACTGCTACTACTACGACTATGAGACTATGACTGCTGTGGCTAATACTAGTGTGGCTAATATTACTGCTACTACTACGACTTTGACTAGTGTGGCTAATACTAGTGTGGCTAATACTAGTGTGGCTAATATTACTGCTACTACTACGACTATGACTACTGTGGCTAATACTAGTGTGGCTAATACTAGTGTGGCTAATACTAGTGTGGCTAATACTACTGCTACTACTACATCTATGACTAGTGTGGCTAATACTAGTGTGGCTAATACTACTGCTACTACTACGACTATGACTACTGTGGCTAATACTAGTGTGGCTAATACTACTGCTACTACTACGACTATGACTGCTGTGGCTAATACTAGTGTGGCTAATATTACTGCTACTACTACGACTTTGACTAGTGTGGCTAATACTAGTGTGGCTAATACTAGTGTACTAGTGCTGCACAGAGATAAAAGTAACGCATTTAAATACCCAGGTTTTCCAGCTTAATATGTTTAAAAAATAAATAAATATTGTTTATAATATAAATTTAAGTCACTAATTAAACCATAGACTGTAAACCTGGTCTAGCTAGTCCATGCTAGCTGCTCTAAGTTTAGCATTGAGGCGATACTCTATGTGCTGCGGTGAATCCCATCTAAAGGGCTGCTGTTAGATGCTAGCGGTGCTCCAGTATAATCTGTCCCTTGAAACTCATGCCATGCGCAAAAGTTCTGCAATACGTAATGCTTGAAAAAAAATGTACAAATTATTTTTGTGTAATTAATGAATCTTTATTTTGCGTCCCGGAACTAATGTTTATATATTTTTTAAAGTCACCGTAGTCAATGTGACCGAACTTAAACTTAAACTAAGTGACAGGTTTCTAAAGCAGGACCAGAGCATGCACTTGACCGGAGCGTGTATACGTGCAGTGCTGGTCATTAGTGCGTTCGTCAGCGTCCTCATTACTGCGGTGGTGACAGGTGCCATGTTTCCACTGCTAATGAGTCTGTGTCACCAGTAAACACATGTATGGCTTCCATGGCGACCCGCTCACCTGGGGCCTGTCCCCGTGACGACAGCATCACCTGGGACTCACCGTGCGAGTGGCCATTACAACATCCCAACTCTTTTATGAGCATCTGCCCATGAGGAAAAAGGCTACTACTGAAAATATACAAGAAGAGTTAATTTGCAAAAGCCCATATCTTCACTTTGAAAATGTGTCAAAATATTGTATTCCTCTAGTTACAAACTTATGCAACTTTATTTGTACGGCACAAGGTTCATTCAAAAAACAGATTTTTAAAGGGTAAATTGTAAACCTTTCAAGTCTTTTTTTTAAATGCCACGTATCTGTTTTTGCAAATGAACTATTCATACAGAGATGTTGGTAATTGGAAAGTCAATAAATTAACTAACATTTTTAAAAAGGAACGTTGTAAGAAGACTTGTTTTTAGCATAACTGATCTTTTGTTTCCATGTTGAACATTGAGTCTGATGAACAAGACCCTCTAGTCTTATTAACCAAAAGTTAATATAAGATCAACTTTATTGTTCTTGAGGGGACTTTTGTTCTTTAACAACAAACTGGAACAAAGTACAGTTATTGCACCATGCTGCCAACACAGTGCATGAAGATATTAAACGTACTCAACAATAAAATGCAAAAGTTATGATGAGCTGGAATTTCCCCAGCGAAGGCTCATATCTGGATTTATAAGTCAATAGCAAAATAAAAGCACCAAGATCATAGAGAACGCTAAACCCCTTTTCACTGTAAGTCAAAAAGGAACGGAGGGAGTTGAACCAAAACAAAATGAAATGTGTCCACTGTCCCTTTGTCCCAGACCCTCATGCAGCTTACATGTGCGGGGCTAGAAATATAACTGCATATTTCTTGCACTAGAATATACAGAATTTTATCTTGATTAGTTCAAAACTTTGAGCTACCGTTTGTATGAATTGTGCAGTACCAATAAACCTGCCTTGTCTTACGATTGCTTCTTTATTATGCTAAAGTTAGAGATTTTATTTGATTTTAGTATTATTATTATTGCTCACTTATCTTGTGTTTTGTACTCCTTATTCCAACTGTTCTGTAACTAGTGAAGCAACACTGAAATTTCCCCACAGTGGGACGAATAGAGGATGTCTTAATCTTAAAGGTATATTCTTCCGAGTGGATCATCTAGACTATTGGCCCTCCTAATTGTCAATCATTCTGGTGATATGCGAGACAGGTTCTGATAGGCGTTCCCTCTGAGAAGAGCGGTTCTTTCCTAAAATTTGGGATAATTCTCTTGTATAACTTTAACTTTGTCCACGAGCCCTTTCCAATGGGCTTCATTGAGCTATGGGGTTAGCATTGTCCATCTATGTGCAGTCTATGCACAGACTTGGAACTGCTCCTTACTTTTATTGCCCTCTTGAGCACTTTTGCCAGTTTAGTTTGGCATTGAACCGTCCAGTAAAACCATGACATGATGTTTGTGTCACACTGGAAAGACCTGGAGCTTTGAGCAACAAAAGTCATCATGAACATTCCTTCTAAACAGGTGGTCGATTAGCCTGGTCGTACCACACCATAGTACAAATGACATTTCGTACTAAGGTCTGGAGGTGCTCCATTGAGCTCCGTTTACAGGTGGGAGCTCAATGATGTTTCAATCCTTTCGCAGATTGAAACTATTGGATCTGAGTTTACTGTGACGCATGTGATGCGACCGAGTGAGTCGTTAGCATTTAGCCTAGCTTTAGCCATCTCCTTTGCCGCTAACGGGGCCCGTGTGGAGTAGCGCCACAATCTTTACCAGCAATTACATTTGCTAAACATTCATCTTGCTTCAGCTTCAATTTCTTGATAGAACCAGAACAGAATACTTTACTATCGCATTCTTTGCCATTACAAAACTACAACTTGCCCGTTTGAGGCAAAGTCTTGACGTCACCCACATCTAAACAACACCCGCCTTTTCGCGCTCTCTGATTGGTCGGTCAAAATTCAAGCAATTGTAATCGCTAACACAGGGACAAGACTCAGAAGTTACATGCAGGAAAAGGATGATTGACCGGAGTGTACGGATGGATAAGGCTAGGCTAGTGGTCGATGTGTTCCGCGAAGTATTTTAAGAACTCAACTTCCATCGATGACAACTGAATTATGAGTTTGCAACGCTTCAGGCTCATAATAATATTCCATTAGTTTTGTTTGTATTTGTAGAAAGTAGATACAGTTTGGAAAAGGCCAAAAACCGCTTTAATCTGCCAACTACAGGTGAATAAGTGCTTGAAGGACACATCGTAAATGGTAATGAGAGATTGTGTTGTCTTATCTACACAGACAAAAAAAACCAAATCAAATTTGTCGTCATAGAACTGTTCTCTGACTAACAGAACATTAGAAAATCAAAAAATGAAAACATAATTAAATACAACAACAAAAATATCTAATAGTCCATTGGTCCATTGGAAAAAATCCATGCATGTCCCAGATCAGTCACAATCTATCTTTTAAAACTTGATTGAGACATTGTTCATTTTGTTCTTAACTAAAGTAAAACAAAAAAATCCCCAAACATAATCCATCAGTATTTTTGAATACGCCAACTCTATGCAAGTGTTATTGTTGTTGAAATACCTTGAATATTCCTAAAATCTGTATGGTTTTAGCCCTATGCACAGGGACAGGGCAGTGGTGATAAATATCAGCTCAAATGTCAGACAAACTTCTGAATAAAGTGAAATGTACAGTTTGTCGCTGCAGCTGAAGTGAAACCTGACCTCCAAATGTTCTACATTTTATCTCTTGATGTGCCGTGTCTGACCGTGTAACCTTTAATCGATCATGCGTACGTATATAACTCTCCACTCCTCTCACTCACTGCATCTTTTCCGCCGTCCCCTCAGCTTCGGTCCCTTCTCCCTCCCTGTGGGGCCCCTCGCAGCCTCCCCCCGGGGCCCCGTGTGTTTACCCGCCTCTAATTGGTCTCGAGGCGGCCGTGGCAGTGGCTGTCGGGGCGCGGGGGGATAAATTAAGCGGCCCAGACACAAACAGTGGCGTGTTTTCGGTGGCACTTAGCGATCAAACGGGCCATAAATGATGCATGCAGCGCTCATTTCACATGCGGCCTGTACAGCGGCGCGTGTTCTTCCAAATATCAATGTGATTCAGAGCGAGGTGGGGCCGCGGGCGGGAGGCCGCCCATGTCACCCGCCGCGCCTCATTTACACACATTATACACTGGAAATTTGTGGCCAAATGTGGCTTTTACAAACATTACTTTGGTAAGTTGTGCCTCGAAGTTAGTGGATTTTTCAGATGGACTTGGACTAACATGTCTATTAACACACTTTCCCAATACAAAAGTTTTTGATTCGGCCAACAACAGCTCATAGTCAAACAATTCAAAATTCAATTATAACAAACACATAGGAGTCATTGGTCCATAAGGAGAGGGAAGAGCAATGCCCATACATTTCCATAAATGTCCATAAATGTCCCAGATTCCCCTCCTGCATCTTGGCCAAGAAGGAGCGCCTCCAATAACCTTGTTGGGAATTTAATGTGAACCTGTAGACGAGGATCTGAGGGAGGGGGTATCCCAGACGGGGAGAGTGGTGCAGCCCATGGGTCTGGGGGCGACCAGGTTATGGGTGCAGGACGGAAAGGCCGCCATCATCATGCCACGAAGGAGACATCCTAGTCCTAAAGATGACAGATGTAGAAGGAAAGAGGGGGGAGGATTGTTTTCAAGTTACCACACTTCCGCACTAACTACAATTTTAAAACAAATATAAATCCTTATTCTGCCCATGAGTAT